ACTGTGAACTGAATGTGAGTAAACTTATTACTTTTAAAAGAAGACTGTTGTGTTTTTATTCTTTTAGGAGGGAATCAAAGGGGTCTTACCAGGAATAGTAGAACTTAAGAGATTCTAACGAATCTGCAACTAGCTTCCTGCTGTGTAAAGAGGGGAATGTACTCTGCTGTGTGAATAAACTCACTAGTGTGAGTTAGGAAGGATAATATTTAATCAATATATCCTCTCCTACTACCCACAACATTCCAACAAGAAGTGCAGACATGGCTGTGTGGGTGGCAAAAGGAAAGAGGAAATTAGAGATTTAGGAGAACCAGAAGTTCTACCCCCTTCCCTACATTTAGTTTCTGATCTTTCAGGTGGCATGGTTTGGACACACTTTTCTTGGAAACCATGTGGGCTAGGAATCTTTTCAAAACAAAGAAGTGAAAGCCCTATGCTCTCGCTCGGTGAAATTTTGCACATCAAAATCACATCTGTAGAATTAAGGGTCTACTAGAATAAGGCAATTAGCAGCCCAATACCCAAGCAAACTTACTTGGAAGCAAATCTCGTTGATTTATGTGGGTTTATGTCCAAGATTACTTGGAAGTGTGCCCTACTGACATTTATTTGGAAGTAAGCTCATTTGAACTCAGTAGAACTTACTTCTAAGGCATGAGATCAGGCCATGTTACTTCTCCAGATGACACTTATCAACAATTGTTCCTCAGGAGGTCTTGTTTAGTACTGGCTCTTAACTGTTAAAAATGACCATAAGAACTTCATCAGTCAACTTGCACCCAATCCTACATATTATGTAGAAGCAAGTTCCACTGATTTCAGTGAGATATACTTCTGGTTGCTATGTTAAGGATGCGAGCACCAACCACTTACTCAAAAGTAACATAGGTAAAAAGGTAAAGAGAATTTATGATGCGAGAGGAGGAATCCATTTTATATTGTGGGTTTCAGCAATTGCTTATTAATAAAACAAACCTACTTCTGTTTTCTGTGGAAAAGATGTTTTTAGAAGTCCAACTGATGACACAAATTACTTGGTCAGCAGATCAAAATGTCAGCTGCAACAAGGGATTGCAAGAAAGACAGATGAATACAGGTTGCTTTAGAAAATACAAATTTTATTTGTAGCTTCCGGTTGCAGTTGCTAATGCTGCCATTTTTGCAGATGGCCATGATTTCACAGAACACATGGGCATGGTGCAGTTTTGGAACAATGCTATATTTCAGGACAGATTTAACAAAAACTGAAATATTTCTTATCTTCTACTCTCTTTTGATACATGGGGGGAGGGGAGCAAGAAAGGCTATGAACAATATTGCAAGCAGAAGATTCGGCAAGTTTGGGCAGTGTTGGTAAACAGCATGCAGCAAGGGGACTGGCAGGTCTGTGTGTTTTTTTGCAGAGCAGTGTTGTGTGATGTGCTTCCCCAACAGTTATTTCACTAACAAATTTCCTGAGTTACCCAATCAGCTGTTTTGACAAGTTAACATGTGGGGAGCTGCTGGCTTCCTGTCAGCAGTTTTACTTGACTGGGGAAAGCAGCTTTCACCATTAATATGCAGCCACTAATAGGTGACCAAAAAACAAGTGGTAGTGGTGACTTCTTTCCTTCGATTCATGCTCCTCCTCTCCATCTAAAACTTCACTTTCTGTTTTCTTCTCCAAACCAGCTGTGGCGTTCAGTAAAACAAAGGGAAATAATCCTACCCACATTCTATATGTCTGACCAACTATTGATCAGTTATTGGGTCAATACACTAGGCATTCCAAATGCACAAATTTTTACTGATGTTTATTTAGGTGACTGATTAACCTGCAGTGAGGGGTGTGTGTGTGTGTGTGTGTATACATACACGTGTGTGTGTGTGTGTGTGTGTGTGTGTATACTACTACAGCTGTTGTTAAAACATACCATGCTACTGTTTGCACTCTAATAAATCTGGGAATCTTGTGCCAGCCTTTAGCAAAGTCCCCTCCCCTCTTCCCCACTCTGAGACTGTGGTTCTCAGATATATTCTGTCACTTGGTGTGTTTTTTTAATGTCCTGTGGGCAAGGCAATAAACTGTTGATGGACTGACTCTGTGGCCTGTGGACAGACATTACCCAGTCAGCATTCCAAGATATCTCAAAATCCAGTGTTTGGCTGGATCAACAGTTCAAATACATATATTTTTTTAGTTGGGCCTAGAAGTAGCAATTCAGATGTGACAGTTCCTCTGTGTTGGCAAATTCTTGATTAGATCTGTGCCTGGGTAAAGCTGCAAATCCAACCAGTCCATCACTGTGGTTTCCTCTAGACTAACTAGCCAAGGTTGAGCCTGGTCATTTGCATCAGCCTCCCATGTGAACAAGACAATGTTAACACACATAGGCATATGGTAAACTTGTCGTCTCAATTCCCACATTGTGCGTAGATGTTTGAACCTCCCAAACGGCTGTGTCTAAGCAAATGGTGCTTCTGCAAATCCTTCCCCCAGCTCTTATAAATGGAAGAATTTGAGTATGGTGCCAAGGTTTTCACCAGGAACCAAAATCTGAGTGTGGGCTCACTACTAAACTAATTCATCCATATTATCCTGCCAAAGTGCTGCCTGTGGAGGGTTTTGCCACACTTCAATTGCAGGTGTGGGGGCGGGGGGAATGGGTATCTGTATCCATTGTACAGTACATCTTGGTAAATCCCATTCCTTGAAATGAACGGAGAGAAGGTTGGAAAGAAGAGAACTAAATGAAGAAAACAGGACTGTACAGGAAAAAATGCGAGAGAGGAGGAGAGTGTCTCCCTCTAGGTGGAGGAATTTGGCAGACAGTGTCAGCCGGGGTGCTTCCTATAGCGACAGATTCTTCACAGTATCATTAAACACGGGCTTTAATTGAACTAGGTACACGGAAGTTGCCTAATTGTCCTCTTCTAATGGATTGGCCTCATTAGTGCAGTTCATTTGGTACCCCCAAAATGTTTGCAGAAAAGATGGCCAGCCTAGCAGATAAGAGACAGGGTGTGGAGAAACGCATTGAAATGGTTGCCCCTATTTCCTCAGCACAGTTCTTTGAAGGCCATTTTGCAAGATACTAGACAGTGAAGATTTTCCAGAGCCTACACCCCAGCATGGCCATTTCTTTACCCTCCCCCCCCCATTCATCTAGATTAGAAGCATTTTTTTCACTGCTACATTGGAAAAAGGAGTTGTGATAGTATGGCTGGACTGATGCACAATCTTAACAGTGAACAGAGATCACCACCGCTTAATATTAAGCAGAATTTCATTCACATGGGTTTGTAAAATTGATGCTGAGTCTACAATCTCCCTCTCCCTCTGCCCCTTTAAATCCACTGGAGCATTTAACAAGGTGCTTATGCAAGATGGATCTGCTGGCAAAAAAAAAAAGGATTCCCTCCAATGCTGTCCTACAGGTCTGGGGAGATCCTTATCTCAAGATGCCTGCCTTTGTTCTGCCAATTCTGATAAGTGCCTGACTAACGATGGAGAGAGACTTGCCTCGTCCGTCTTCCCCACCCTGCTCTGCTACGCATGCGCGAGGCGAAGACAAAGGAATAGGTAATTACAAGAGAGTTTCATTCATTTTCCCTGCAGTATCGCCAAAAGAGGAGCCCAGCTGGGAGGTTTTCTCACCCAACACAGACCCGGTGTCGTAGACGACGTGTGAATGCGCTGGCCTCGGGGACGGCTACTTTAAAAGGCATCCCCAAAAAAAGAAAGCGTGGTACCCGGGAGCCTCATCTCCGGGAGCCACTAAGATGCGCTCGTTTTCATGTGCCATGATTCGGTGGCTAACGCAGCAGAGGGGTGGAGAACGGAGAGAAACTGCAGGATCTCTGATTTACAAGAAATCACATTCGCTTGGGGGTGGGGAGAGGATGCCGCGAGGGGGCTTGCTATGCATATTCATGGCGGAGCAACGGGGATCCATGCAGTATTCCTAAACTCCATAGAGATGGTGTGGATCTTTGCATTGAAGTAAAAAAAAATCCCCAAACCAAGACACAAACGCTTCTGGTCTTGCAGGCTTTGCATTTAAGCAGGGTGGGAGATTAAAATGTTTGTGGCCACTGCTATCATATCCCCCCCACCCCGCCCCCTCCTCGTCTGTCTTTCTTTTTCACCCCACACTGGTGACCAGTAATAAAACCAGAAGCTCTTTTCTTCAGGATCGCTTAAGAAAGAACAATCACACAGTGTAACACCCCAGGATGGTTTTAAAATAAAAAATTGGCAGGCATCCACTTTACACCTCGCCCGCCCTCTGCTAAGAGAAGATTGAAGGGGTGATTTTTTAAAAAGAAGGAGGAGGGGAAACACGTTTAGCCAAAATACACACGCACAGATCGTTTAGGAGTTTTCTCCAAAGTGCTCCACAGGTAATATAACTGCGAAAAACCATCCTTTCAAGCCCAAGCTGAGGCTCTCATGCCATGTTATCTCGCATTTACGCTCTTCCCCCTCCTTCCTCTCCCCCCTCCCCTGCATGATCTTAACATGGATGTACGCCCCCCTCCCCAATATGCCTTCTTCGAGATATCCATGCTATGCAGTCCATATTTATTTATTTATTTATTATTTATTTATTTATTATACTGTACATATAGATATAGATATATATATTAAAAAAGATGGGGAAAGAAATCTGTAACATCCCCTCCCAAAAAAAAGTGGCTTTAAAAAAATTAAAGAGAAAAACAACCCCAAACCCTCCATCCCGATTCCCCACATCCACCCCTTTCTCCATCATGCCCGTGGACGTCTCCATGCAAAGATTTCAAGACATAGGCACTGACTTAAATTTCTCCCTTTCATAGAAACCCATCGCCCAGGCATGTGGGCTACCTAGATCTTGCTTCTCCCTCTTTTAAATATATATATAGATCAGAAAATCTCCCAATACACACACACACACACACACACACACACACACACACATTAAAAATTTCGAGAGAACAAGCGGTTTTCATTTTTGGAGGCGGGGGCGTTTGTTTCAACAGCAATAAGAACCGGATCGACCAGCTGGCTGCCGCGTAAAAAAACACAGAGGGGGGAAACAAGAAAATCCAAATTGTCTCCAGCCTCTCGGATGGCTCTTACCTCGTTCCTTTGCTCCTCTGTCCCCTTTGGCGCGGCTGCGAGGCTGGGGTCACAAAGAGAGAGAGAGAGCGGGGTCCCGGCTCGCCCTGGCGCCCGCTGAGTCTCGCCGGAGATCTCCCTCGCTCGCTGGCTGGGAGTGTAGTGGCTGGAGCTGTGGCTGCTTGGAGTAACGCCGGCGCCGCCGCTACTGCTGCCGCTGCATTTCTCCCCCTCCCTCCCGCTTCTCTCGGTGACAGTCTGTGGGCAGTTCAAAAGCCACACATGCACACGCACGCACGCGCGCACAGACACGCGCACCGGGTTTGGTTCCTCTCTCTCTCTCCTCACCCCCTCCGCGCGCGCGCGCGCGCACCCACCCACCCCTCCCTCCTTACCTTTTTTTTTCCTTCTCCCCCCCCCCCAATTATTTCACCCAAAGCTCATCAGCTTCAAGAGATGCCTCCTTTCGCCCTTAGGGGGCGGTCCCGAGCCAAGGTTTTAAATATCCGCTTTGCGCGTTTCAAGACGGAGTCTTGTTTTGGAAGGCGCGTAAACATGCCCACCGAGCTTCCAACCCCCACGTGAAAGGATGGATCCCGCGGTGGGGAGGAACAGCAAGGGCAGATCTCTCTGCTGGTGGATTCTGACTCCTTTCCTAAGAGATCTTGCAAGCCTTCAGAGGTGCTTTTTACTTCGCTTCCCCTGCCTCTTTATATATTACTAATATTATTGTGGTTTTTACGCACGGGGCGGAGCGCAAGCGGTCGTCGTTGTTGGCATTCTGGCACCGCGCGGCTGGATGGGGAATGGGAGAGACGCGCGCCAGCAGAACGGGCTTCTTCTGCGCGCTCTGGGCTTCCTCGAAGGAACGGCAGCTGGTGGCCAAGGGATGGCAAACGCGGATGGCGAAGGGATGAGGAGAGGACCACTCCGGGGAGGCTTCCGCGCAGGAGTGCGCGGCGTGCTGCGTTGGGTTGCAGGAGGGCCGGAATGCTTGCATTTAAAAGTGCCACCTGCTTGGGACATCGAGGAAAACCTTCCTCTGGTGATGGGACGGTTGTGAGACAACGGAGAGAAGGAGAGGGCTTCGTTTTAATCTCGAAAGCATGGAGGCAACTCTTCTCGAAAGAGTGTGGGGAAAGGATGCTTAGGAACTGGAGTATGGACGTGTTGTAAGGGAAGGCAGGATACTTCGCCATGCACGAAAGATGTGTATGAACTGTCTGAGATATAAGCAACCGCTTATTAAACTAGCTACAAATTGTCTCCAAATATTCTGCAAGCTGGCGACCGCCCCCTCCTTCAGTGAGCAACGTGTAGGCAACGATTTTGTGTGTTTTTTTCTATCACAGAGCAAGCAGTGCGTGCGTTTAGCATGCTGCTAAACAGAGATTTTTTTTAAATTGGCGTGGGGTTTGTATTTGTAGTTCTGTAGCGCCCTCTGCTATTTAAATGACTGCATAGCAGGGCATACTTTTAATGATTATTTTTTAAAGTTAAAATAATGGGGCATTAAACTTTGCATATTTTATTGAAGAATATTCAGAAATGAAAGTGAAGCCGACCACAAAGTATATGCCAATCTGAAAAATTTCTTAGAATAAGCAGATCTATTGCCGCATGACACTGGCTAAACAACTTCAAACAATTGCAACATAAAGATACAAGCCAAAATCTTGTTTTTCAAAATATTTTTAGAAAATATACATATATGGAAATGTATTGTTGCTTTTGGTTCGTTATGAAAAGTACATTACAAAATTGTGCCTGCAAATTGAAGAGCAGGAATTCTATACAAATGAATTTAATTAACTTGAAGTTGATAAAAGTAATTTGTACTAAGAATTTTGTCTAAGGCACCTGTTTCATTGCTGATATATATTACACCAAAGCATGGTTTCATGCATGGCACCAAAAACACTTGCATTTCCTTCATCTGTAATGTGAATGTAAAGTTGCCTAGAATGTATATTGAATTTTAAATGGCATTTCCCCCTCTCTCCTGCACTGATTTTCACACATATCCACAGCAACAATATGAGAGGCTCAAAAGTGCTTTGTTTGCTCAGCATGTTTGCTCAGAAGCAAGTTCCATTTAGTTCAATGAGATATACTCCCTAGTCAGTGTGCTTAGCAGCCTATTCGTGTTTTACTAGAAGAAAGTCCTATTGTGTTCAACGGGACTTACTCCCAGGTAAGGTTTGCAGCATCAGTAATGTGTGCAACACACCCTAGCATAATTTCTTCTGAAATTAGTGGAAATTACTCCAGTGGCTTCTGCCAATGGGCTAGGATGAAAGTTTGCAACTTTCATGGATCAAGTATATATTATACTGGATCCAACTTTCATGGATCCAGTATAAAAAAGATAAGGCACTGAGGAAGGAGACAAAACACTGCACAGCAACTACATCAGAATGGTAAATAGCTCCTTTCAAATTCAAAGACTTAATATTCACCTATTCTGTTCTATACCATAAAGCTTATCAGGAATGCTCATCCAGTATTTACTTAAGCTTTGGTAAACGGAATTAGTATAGAAAGCTTAACAGGTGATCAAAAATACAGTACAGACTATTGGACCTCCTTCCCAAGACTTCTGGTAAAGGGAAAAAAATGATATGTAAAATTCATTGTTTCAGTGTACAGAGCTGCATGGCTGCAGAAGCAACAAGCCTGTTAAAATTATTTACATATAAATCACCACCAACCATATTAGAACATGCAGAAGTAGCTTGTACGATCGAGAAGAAAAAATGCACTGGAGAATGCAGCTCTGTTTTCTTGGAGAGAGCAATATAAAAATCTATTAATTTCTCATTTGTAGTAAGCATGCTAGACAAATTCCGGCTGCCGAGAGCTATGCCAATAAAGCAATGTTCACCTAGTGTGGTATCTAATTTCTTCTGAAATTATGAGTCGGCGTTCTGAAGAAATGCACACAAGCAAAGTTTCTCCATTGATATATCCCCATTCAAATACCCATTGAATCTGACTCTTTATTTTAGAGTTTGCCATGCCACATCATTCCCCAAAACGCACACGTACTAAGTAACTGGCTCCGTTTTCCTGATGGAGACAGCAAGCCCAGCAGACAGCGTGATTGGAATATAGATCTACTCATTGCTATGGAAACAAGAGACAAAGCCTGCATGAGGATTAAGAAATGCAAATCCACTAGAATGTGGTTTGTGCTTTTCTATTAAGCTGTCCCTGCACAGGCTATAAAAGACCTGTAATATATTTATGTTCGACTAAGTGACTGGTATGAATTGATAAAACCGTTAACTCCAGTATTCAAATTATTGTAAATCAGTGCTAAATGTCATTTATTTGTTTCTCCTTGACACCAATGTACAGTTAACTACCTTGTAAAAATCAATTCAGAAGTGTCCTAAGCATGAATAGCTAACACATTTATGCATTAGCCTTCTAAATATATTTGTGAAAAGATTTTTCTGCAGCCATAGCTACTACATTTCCACTGAGAAAGCAGTATTTCCCCCTTGGAAAGCTGGAGGCATTTTGACATGTTTCCTGGACTCTAGACTATGCTACCCCGTTTATCCAGAGTGCTTTGAGGAGTGTGGTCTATGGCTGCAATCCTATACCACTTACCTTTCCTGAGCAAGGTTCTGGAGCAAGTGGTTGCAGACCAGATCCAGGTGCTTTGGGAAGAAACTGATTTTCTGGATCCATTTCAATCGGTATAGGTCCAGTTTTGGCACAGAAATTGCTTTGGTCGTCCTGTATGACGACCTCTGTCGAGAGAGAGACAAGGGAAACCTATCCCTGTCAATTCTTCTCGACCTCTCAGTGGCTTTTGATACCCTCAACTATGTTATCCTTCTGGAGCGACTCTCAGAACTAAGTGTGGGTGGCACTACTTTGCAGTGGTTCCAGTCCTACTTGGATGGTAGCTCCCAGAGGGTGTTACTTGGGGAGTGCTTTTCATCCCCTTGGAACCTTCAATGAGGGGTTCCGCAGGACTCAATTCTATCCCCCATGTTGTTTAAAAGATGTTGTTGGACTCCAACCCCCATCAGGACCAGACAGCATAGGTGATGGTCAGGGATTATAGGAGTTAAGAGTCTAACAGCAACTGGAAGACCACAGATTCCCCTGTTTTATAGCTGAAGGTCCAATCTAGATTTGCCTTTGAGTCAAAATTAGGCGTGCTAATAAGAGCATACTATTCCATGTCAAGAGATGGTACCGGCCCATAGCTAACCTCATAAGTAGAGCTCCAGACAAAGCATAGGATAATCCACCTAAGGTTATCAGGACAGTGGTGTCTCGGGCTGCCATAGGAATAACACAGGTCAGCCTGAGCTGTTTCATTTGAAAAGGGTGATGCAGGGAACAGCAGCTTATGAACACTTCTCCATGTGTTTCATGCTCTTGGTAGCACTTGTGTCAACAGAGTCTGCCCCAAGTAAGAAACCTTTTTCTTGCAGATGCCTTGAAAGCACAACTTAGGTGCTCCTTTATTACTTCAGAGAATTCTACAAGGCAGAAATGCAGAGTCCTGTTCTTTGATCTCTGTTAAGGCTGAATTGTTTCTTGTGTGGTATTTGTGGAAACATCATTGTAAGAGGTCTAAGTTATTCTTCCCCAGAATGTGTAGTTTCATTCATTCTCACCAGGGGAAAACCGTCAGCTTCTCTCAGTTGTTCATGTTTGGGTGCCACCACATTTGCGGCACGGTCGTGCTCTTCAACGGCCCTGGCCCCTTCTTTCACGCTCTCCATGGCCAGCTTGACTGGTATTGGTGGATCCGGCATGGGTTTGAAAAAGGAGATATTTGGCAGGTTCAGGGCAAGGGGAGCCGAAACGGGAGGGTCCAGGGCTGTCATTGCCTCGGCAAGGTCTCCCTCGCACTCCTCCTGTAATCATATCAAATATACCACATTGTCAGGATGAACAGTCCAGTGAAACAATAACTTTCCAAGAACCACCCTTTGCTTCTTATTCCAGGTGCTGCCACTGGATGTGCCTTGATTGGTATTAATTGAGGGCCCTCTCGGTGGCAGTTCCCCACCTGTCAAATGCACTCCCTGCTGCAATGGGAACATGGTCACCCAGTGAGTTTTAGAGCTCAGTGTGGATTGGAACCCTGGTCTCCCATGGCCTAACACTCAACTGCATCACACTCACTCACTTGTGACCCCACAAAAGGAGGGCATTTTTAGCCCCATATTTAACTCTGGGGTAAATAGCAACCCTGGGGAGGCAGCTGTCAACGTTTCCCTTTTTTTGAGGGAAATTCCCTTATTTTGAATAGGATTCTTCGCAAGAAAAGGGAAAAGTTGACAGCTATGGGCAGATCAGAACTGGGGGGGGGCAAGGGGTTGAAACCCCTCTAAGCAACATCATGTGTGAACATCCCCTCTTAATTGCAGCTCTTTAGTTAAAAAGCAACTGTGGAAGGGCACATCATCTGCTGACAGTGCAGCCCTGTGTGTGCCTCTTTTTTCAGTCTTGGGTTCAAGGGGGCTTACTCTCAGGTAAGTTGGCATAGTAGAGAATGGGGAGGGAGCACCAGGCTGCACAGCACAATTACCTGAATACCCTGGGCAATAGCGGCCGCTTCATTGGCTTCCTTTTCATCTGCACCCACTAGCTGTTCCTTGGCATCAGAAACCTCAGTGGTTACTTTTTCTAAGAGAACCACCATTTTCTCCGTTTCTGCGGAGGTCTGAATCCAGGTCAGCTGAAGAGCTGTCAGGGGCGCCTTGGTGACCTGATCAAACTCCTCCAAGTAGTATTCCACTTGAAATCCATTGAGTAAAAACTTGAAATTGCTTGAGTACTCAATAAAGTTCTCTCTCAGTCTCTCCTCATAATACTGAGCTTGCAACAGATATGGCAGATAATGAAAACAGATGCAAATTTTCATAAAATCTACCTGTTTCAACATAACCAGAGACATGGGCTCCTTGGTGACCTGGTCAGACTCCTCCAAGTAGTATTCCACTTGAAATCCATTGAGTAAAAGCTTGAAATTGCTTGAGTACTCCATAACATTCTCTCTCAGTCTCCTGTACTCTACACCCTGCTGTTTGAAAGTTGCCATTAGCAGCACTGGCTCTGAGAGGGCACCCAACTCTTCTTTGCCGATATTTTCAAGCAAGACTAGGGTTCCAAACTGGATGGCGTTCTCCAAAGTCCTTACGTAAGTGGAGTCAGACACCTTGATAATGGAAAGATTATAGCGTGCTGCTTCCGTGCCCCTATCCTCCTTTCCTCCCAAGCTCATCTTTTCAGCCCTTTCCAGCTTATAAGAGCATTCCTCAATGCTTGTTTTCAAGCTCTTTCTTCCGCTTAGTAAGTGATTCAAGTTCATCGTTCAGGTCCCGGAGGCGGTCAATTACTTTCTTTAGTTCGTCTCTATCCGTATTGAGCTTCTGCATCAGTAGAGTGAGCAACCCTTCCTCTTTCCTGAGTTCTTGATGTTTTGGGGCCACCACCTTTGCCACCCGGTCGTACGCTTCCATGGATCCAACTCCTTGGCACAAGCCTTTGCAGGCAGATGATACAGCTGGCTCTATGAAAGATGGCTGAAAGTCCACCTGGCTGAAAGTCCACAACTTCTCTCTACTTCTCTTCATTACAGCTGGGAGGAAATTCTCTTTGTCAGAAGTCTTCAAGGAGTCGAGGAATTTCAGGTCCCTTGCAACCATTTTGGAACTACCTGAAATTTCAAATAAATACATATATATTAAAATGTTGTCAAAATATAAATATCTCATTTTAAAAATCTGGAAGACTTGTCAACCTTGCTATTCTTTCCCCTGTCATAGTTTTTGGGAGCATCCAGGTGATTCTTAAGCCAAAGGAAATGGATAAGGTCATAAAATGACACTTGCATCTATGGTTCATTTTATTGCATTGAATGCAGGGGGAGGGGCTGATGCCCATTGGACTTGTAGGGCAGAATACGGGAGAGTCAACAGTAGTGGGGAATTAGAGCCAATGACAGGCAGAGTGAACTAATTCTGGCTTTGTCCTCACCCTCCTTCCTGCTGAGTTCCATAACAGCAACACTGGGCCTAAGGAGGAGCAGGAGCAGATGGGGGCTGGCTAAGGAGAGGCTTAGCTGTTTAGGGCACTTCCCCACTTGCCCTAATGGACTAAAGTCTACTGGTTGAATGTCTGAATATATAATATAAAGTGATACGATGAAAATGCTCAGTATCAACAAAGAAACACATGACAACCCCTCCCAATAGAGGATTAAAAAAATAAATTACCGCTTCCAGTTGAATCAGGTTTTCTTTCTGGCTTTTTCACCCACGTTTTCCATGCCCAACTTGGCAGGTCCTGGTGGATCGTTTATGCAGTTGACAAATGAGGTATTTGTCATCTTCATGGTATGGAGAGCCGAAAACGGACCTTCCAGGGCAGGCATTCGCTCCACCAGGTCGCTCTCGCACTCCTCCTGTAATGACATCAAATATATTCTCAGTAGGGATTTGATAGCCCTGGTCTCCCCCGGCCTAACACGCTAACTGCATCACACTCACTCTCTTGTGACCCCACCCACAAAAGGGGCAATGGTGGAGCTTCATGCTCTGGCACCGGGGGGCAGAGAGAAGGCGGGGCGGGGTGGGCGTCCTGGGGGCGGGAAGCACTGCCTGTGGGGGCGGGGTGCCCAGCACGGGGGCAGCTGCAATGGCACCCTGCTAGGATCATGCTGCCGGGGGTGGTGTGCTCCCCCTGCACTCCTCTTCCTCTGCCAGTGAAAGGGGGGGGCATTTTTAGACATTTTTAGCAATAAATGCAAATGTTTTACCTTTAAAGGTAAAGGGTTAAGGGACCCCTGACTGTTAAGTCCAGTCGCAGACGACTCTGGGGTTGGGGCGCTCAACTCGCTTTACTGGTTGAGGGAGCTGGCGTCCAGCTTCCGGGCACGTGGCCAGCATGACTAAGCCGCTTCTGGCAAACCAGAGCATCATACAGAAACGCCGTTTACCCTCCCACCAGAGCGGTGCCTATTTATCTACTTGGACTTAGACATGCTTTTGAACTGCTAGGTTGGCAGGAGCAGGGACCGAGCAACGGGAGCTCACCCCGTCACGGGGATTCAAACTGCCGACCTTCGTATCGGCAAGCCCTATGCTAGTCACATTTTTTTCTTACCTCAGCATGTTTGGTGCCAGAAATTGACACCAAGAGAATTATCCAGAAAATCGACATCGTAATCTATGAAAAAAGAAAAGCAGATGAATATTGTTTTTAGGCAGCTTTTAAATCCCAGAACACTTTCCCTCCCAGGCTGCTCACCTAACAACTTACCTATTTGCAGCTCATTTGCTGAAATGCCCTCTGTGCACCAGATAACCCCAATATAAACTTAACATTGGATTGTGATGTAAGCTGGCACCCCTGTCTTGAATTATTATGCCAAGATGGGAAAAGTTAAAATTGTCATTGCTAGGCAAAATTTCAGTGATAAAAATGAATGTTTTGCCTAGAATGATATTTTTATTTCAAATAATACCTCTCGCGACTGATTCACTATTTAAAGAATGGCAAAAGGGGTTTATCTAAGTGTTATGGCAATGGAAAAAACCACAAGTTAAAATGAAAGTACTGCAAGATGTAAAGCAAAGGGGAGGATTGGAACTGCCTGATTAGAAATTGTATTTTGCCACCTATTGCTTAGCGTGGATGAAGGAGTGAGTGATCCTAAGAAATAGGGGGATTTTGGAATTAGAGGGTCATGATTTAAGGTTTGGGTGACATGGATATCTGTGGTATGAGAAGGTCAAAGTGTATGTGGACTTTCAAAATCATTTTGTTAGATGCACTATATTGAGAATCTGGAGGAGAGATAAACCTAGGTTGGAGGTGAAGATACCCCTATGGACTTCAGTGCAAGACGCATTTCTTATGGAAACAGGTGACAGGTAAAGAGAAATGCTTAGCCTAGGGAGGCCAGATGACTTCACCTATTACAACTTTCCATTTTATAGGCTTGTTAGATTTGTGCATTGCTTGCCGCTAAGAAAGTGCCAATGCTATGTACAGCTGTTCTTCTGGTTTGTGCCAGAGCATTCCTACAACCCACTCTTCCTGAATTCTGGGTGAACTAGAATAATTCCAGAACAAAAATTCCAGAACAGCAGCACATGTGCTTCACTACAGTTTGACGTTTCCCCAGTTCATTCCTTGGCATACACATACCAGTGTGCTCTGCACTTTAAGCTGGACGCAGCTCAACATGGGCTTCCTCCATGACATTTCAATATCTTTCTAGGGCACAAATGAGATGGGAGAACTAAGGAAGTTGCTCCCTCAGTCTTAGGGCGCAACAAGGTGGAGGTGGGCGAGCGGGAAGATGAAGCTCACAGGATCCTTATCAAGCAAAGCAATATACAGTGTCATCATGGAAAGAATGACATGGGTGTGGGATGTTTTAGCCACGACCCTGCAATGATGGCGAAGAAATTCCAAACAAGGCTGAACTGGCCCCATGAATAAGTCGTCAGCCTGAAAGTTGGAAAAGGGTAAATGGCTTTCAAATGCAGCAAAAGTTCCATTATTATCAATAGGAACAGTTTGCTATCAGTCAATATGCAGAGCCAGACTAATACATTTTGCTGCCTGAAGCAAAAAGCAAAAACAAAATGGTGAATCTTCAATCCCATTCCACATACAGCAGCCAATTTTGCTGGCAGCTGAGTCTTACAATGGGGCAGACAAACTCCAGACAAAGCATGGGATAACCCACCTAAGGTTATCAGGACAGTGGTGTCTCGGGCTGCCATAGGAATAACACAGGTCAGCCTGAGCTGTTTCATTTGAATAGGGTGATGCGGGGAACAGCAGCTTATGAACACTTCTCCAAGTGTTTTGTGCTCTTGGTAGCACTTGTGTCAACAGGGTCTGGCTCAAGTAAGAAACCTTTTTCTTGCAGATGTCTTGAAAGCACAACTTAGGTGCTCCTTTATCCCTTCAGAGAATTCCACAAGGCAGAAATGCAGAGTCCTGTTCTTTGATCTCTGTTAAGGCCGAATTGTTTCTTGTGTGGTATTTGTGGAAACATCATTGTAAGAGGCCTGAGTTACTTTCCCCCAGAATGTCAGTCATTGAACACATCCTCTAAAATGTGTCCAGCCCATTCACTGCATGAGATATATGTTGTTCCCCTTTGAATTTCCATCTTTTGAGTTTTGGCCTTAAAGGAACTAAAAGCTTGAATTTGTTGTTGTTTAGTCGTTTAGTCGTGTCCGACTCTTCGTGACCCCATGGACCAGAGCACGCCAGGCTTGAATACTGCAAAGCATATCCATAAGGCAAGTGAGCTGGTGCAGTGAGGTATTGTGTGGCCTAATTAGCCGAGCCAATATTACTATCTGGTTATGGCAAAAGCTCAGGGGTGGAACAATTATTCAGACATGCAGCCCATGTTTCATATTTGACTCATCCTCTTCTTTCTTCTATATCCAATCCAGTCATTTCTTCCTGTCCAGCTGATTATAATAATAGCTTTCCCCTTTGACGTTGTGCCTTACATATCCTACTGCTTTCTATGCTGCTGTGGCTGTCTGTCCCATAGAAAATAAACAAAAGAGTGTGTGCGTCTGTGTGTGTGTGTGTGTGTGTGTGAGAGAGAGAGAGAGAGAGAGAGAGAGAGAGAGAGAGAGAGAGAGAGTATTCTGACTAATCAAACAGCAACATAAAACAAAATAGGGAAAAAATAAAATAAAAGTAGCAGACTCAAATAAACTTTCTGATCAGTCAATATACGTCCAAAATCTAATAGCTGTGTTCCCCTCACAGAGCTGCAAGCTCCAGAGTTCCCTAGGAAGAGGAACTAACCTCTCAGCACCCTTAATAACTCCAGTTCCCAATATTTTAGAGGGGGAATTCATGACTGAGTAAATAGGTATGATATTGCTTTAAATATATGCTGCAGATGGGTCCTAAATCCACCAGAAGATTAATATCTGGGGTAGAGAGTGGAAGGCAGAGGGCAAGGAAGACCTTACACAGGAATGGACGAAGTCACAGAATCAAAGAATCATAGAGCTAGAATGGGAGAGAGGGTCATCTAGTTCAACATCCTGCAATGCAGGGGCTCAAAGCCATGACCCTGACCTGAAAATGAAAGCCATGGCAGGAACTGGGGAAAGCCAGAAGCGAAGTTGAATGAAATGACAAAGCAAAGAGTTGGGCTCAACCCAAGAAAGAAAACTGGGAGCAAAGCAAAGAGGACTTCCAGACCAGTCTTGGGTGGGATTCAGCCACATCCCAGCAAATCCCAGTTGTGCAGTCAAGGTGATTGGGAGGCCTTGAACAACAAACCCACTCCTCCCAAAAGAATGGACTTTTTGCAAAATATTCCCCTTCTGGGGAAAGCTGATCATTTTCCAGGACTTCTGCAGCTTTACAATATGCAATTGGAAAGAACAGAGAGCTGGAGAAGCCTGTCCTTGTCGTCCAGTAATCTCCTACCATAGTTAGATTCACCTTGGGACAGAAACAACGCATTGGAATGAAAATGGTAAGATTTTTATGGAGAATGCAGAGATACCTTCTATTAAAACAGAAGATTATATAAGACTCTGCTCACAAGGTGACCAGAGCCCTCATACAGTGGGCACAGGGGGGAATTGGAACCTACAGTGGGACACTTTTAATAAGCAGCCATATGTTAGCTGGCCTTGCATTACTAGGGATGATGGAGTTTTGTCACAAATCCCAATATACTATGGGGTTTCTGAGGGCGTTTTGTGACAGGGCTGAAGTAAGTTTGTGATGGCCCTTTGTGTGCGGGCCGAGGTGGGGTTTGTGATGGCCCTTTGTGAGAGGGCTGAGGTGGGGTTTGTGATGACCCTTTGTGAGAGGGTTGAGGTGGGGTTTGTGATGACCCTTTGTGAGTGGGCTGAGGTGGGGTTTGTGATGGCCCTTTGTGAGTGGGCTGAGGTGGGGTTTGTGATGCCCCTTTGTGAGAGGGCTCAGGTTGTGTTTGTGATGGCCCTTTGTGAGTGGGCTGAGGTGGTATTTGTGATGGCCCTTTGTGAGTGGGCTGAGGTGGGGTTTGTGATGGTGCTTTTGTGAGAGGGCTCAGGTGGGGTTTGTGATGGCCCTTTGTGAGTGGGCTTTGGTGGTCTTTGTGATGGCCCTTTGTGAGTGGGCTGAGGTGGGGTTTGTGATGGCCCTTTGTGAGTGGGCTGAGGTGGGGTTTGTGATGGTGCTTTGTTAGACAGCTCAGGTGGTGTTTGTGATGGCCCTTTGTGAGAGGGCTCAAGTGGTGTTTGTGATGGCCCTTTGGAAGTGGGCTGAGGTGGGGTTTGTGACTCAAACCCTTAGGATGAGTCCCCAGTAGCATTTCAGCTTTCAGCCTTGTATATAGTAGCAGTTATGGAATTGGACAATAGCCCTTTAAAGAACACAGCCAGCTCCTCTGCAAAGGCAGGGCTACTGTAGGGCAGGGTTTGCCAACTTCAACCTCTTTGCTGAGACAACATCCAGCCATTAACCACAATCAACAGAAAACTGCAGCCACTGGACATCACAGGACCTGTCCATGGTCCTGATAGGGCTTGCCTAAATCTGGGTGTATTTTTATTTTTATTTATTTCTTAAGATCTATACACCACTTGATTGCAAGAAAAGCTCAAAGCAGGTTACAAAAAGTTTAAAACCATAAAATCATCTAAAAAACGGAAACAACTATTGAAAACATTGAAAAAATAAATAAGATCAACGATGGACAGGGAGTAAATTAAAATGTATGTCAAGATTCTACATTTATGGATGTTTTTAGCAGGCACCAAAAAGTGTAGAGTGAAGGTACCTGCTTGGGAGTTCCAACTGAAAATATCAATTTCTTATAAATGCGGATCAAGTTGTAACAGTGCCAGTTCCACAGATCCAAGCACTTGCATGGGCATATATAGGATAAGGAAATCTCACAAGTAAACTAGGGACAAGCTGTTAAGGGCTTTATATACTGACCTGTATATTAGACCTTGGCCCTGAACTTGATACTGCTAAATTGGATCTTTGCATTAAAGCAACAAAATCCCCAAACCAAGCCACAAACGCTTCTGGTCTTGCAGGCTTTGCATTTAAGCATGGTGGGAGGTTAAAATATTTGCGGCCACTGCTATCATTCCCACCCCCCGCACCCCCGTCTATCTTTCTTTTTCACCCCACACTCGTGACCAGTAATAAAACCAGAAGCTCTTTTCTTCAGGATCGCCTAAGCAAGAACAATCACACAGTTTTACACCCCGGGACAGTTTTAAAATAAAAAATTGGCAGGCGTCCACTTTACATCTCGCCCGCCCTCTGCTAAGAGAAGATTGGGGGGGTGATTTAAAAAGAAAGAAAGGGGGGGTAGCACTTGTGTCAACAGAGTCTGCCCCAAGTAAGAAACCTTTTTCTTGCAGATGCCTTGAAAGAACAACTTAGGTGCTCCTTTATTACTTCAGAGAATTCTACAAGGCAGAAATGCAGAGTCCTGTTCTTTGATCTCTGTTAAGGCTGAATTGTTTCTTGTGTGGTATTTGTGGAAACATCATTGTAAGAGGTCTGAGTTATTCTTCCCCAGAATGTGTAGTTTCATTCATTCGCAGAGGGAGCAACCCTTCAGCTTCTCTGAGTTGTTCATGTTTGGGTGCCACCACATTTGCGGCACAGTCGTGCTCTTCAACGGCCCTGACCCCTTCTTTCACGCTCTCCATGGCCAGCGTGACAGGTCCATTCGGATCCGGCATGGGTTTGAAAAAGGAGGTATTTGCCAGGTTCAGGGTGCGGAGAGCCGAAAGGGGAGAGTCCAGGGCTGGCATTGCCTCAGCAAGGTCTCCCTCGCACTCCTCCTGTAATCATATCAAATATACCACATAGTCAGGATGAACAGTCCAGTGAAACAATAACTTTCCAAGAACCACCCTTTCCTTTCTTATTCCAGGTG